CACTATGAGTCATTTCCGACTCAATGGCACCTGACAACAACAACAACATCCAACATTTCAAATTTAGTATGATAGTAAAATATCTACTATATGACAGTTTTGTGCATTAGAACATACAGCTAGTGGTAACAAATGCTGAAGTGAAAAATGTTTGTGAAGGTTAAGAGTATGTGTGAATTTGGGTAGGCATGATTCTCAGTGACTTGACAGTTATTATGCAATTTGGCAGTTATGTAATTATGCAGTATTCCTCAATTTGAGATCTGTTATGGTTATCCTCCATTTTCTCATAACACTAGTTTCTTGCATAACAGCTTAGTCTTTGTGACCTAACATGCAGATAAAAGAGAAGTGGCTGTATAGGCAAAAATAAATTTTATTTCTATCCAGGCCTCTTTTCACAGCTAAATTAGAAATCCTCTTACCTGATTCTGAGCAAACATAATGCTTGAAATAAAATATGTTACTAGATCCATTAAAGCTTTCAAGCAGGCCATGTTTAATTTGGAAGCTTCTCCAAGAACCAACAAAGTCAGTGCTGAATCCAGCCTGGAAATGTTATGAACAAAATGACAAAGGCATTAAGGAAAAATAATAATAATTGAAGTTTAAATGAGAAAGAAAAAAGTTATAGGCCAGAGGATATCCATGTACTGGATTACCAGGTATATTTATTTTCAACCAACGCCAATACTGACTGCTGTTAATTATAATCTACGTCTACAGGAAAGCACCACATTTTGGTAAGATATTTAACTTTGGAGTTGTGCTTTGCCAAACCTCTCAGAGTCATAAATATTACAAGTCACATTTGTTTATGCATCCTGTATGATAAGCAATCAAGGATCCTAACTCTACAGAGTGGCCCAATATCTTACTATAGACTTTGATTTAACTTTGTACAACACATTCCATGTGGTTCTACAGTACAGAAAAAGTGTTCTAAAATACTCCATATAAAAGCAACATTACTTGATTTTATAAAAAGTACAGTTTCTCAAAATAAAATTAATATTTCACATTGAATAAAAGATGATACAATTTTTTCCCTCAATATATTATACAATAAGTAGGAAACCACCTAAAAATAGTTAGTCACACATATACACAACATTTTATGCTTCATGAAATGATACCCTTAGTTGTTTTTACTCAATTAAATGAGATATAATTGGTAAGAGAACTGATAAGATTTACTCCTGCCTTGAGCAGCTTAGTGCCATGATTTTCAGTCATTAATACATTAAAAAGTATATTTTGTAAGTATATTTTAATTTCAAAATTGTACTATTTTAGGCTAGTAAGTCATGTTCATCTCCACTTTCAAAAGGAAACACTTTTATCATAGGAAAAATAAAGGTAATTCTTTATATTTGAGTACAGCGATTCAAGAGTTTTTTGGGGGTTTTTTGTAGTTTATTTTATTTATTTTTCCTTTTTTTTTTTCTTTTTTTTTAGTTTTTATTGTGGACTTAGTAAAAGTTTGCAGGGCAGATCATCAGTTTTACATTCAACAGATCATATACCTTGTTTCATTACAATGATTACCCTTCCATGTACCATCAGTTAACAGTATTTCTCCCTTTCACTTTAGTTTTTTTTGTTGTTGATTTTTAAACGCTCAGGCATATATAATAATTTACACCACCAAAGGGAATATTCTGCAAGTCTGCCTCCTGGCAGCATCTCTTAATCTCTCTCTTCCCATGAATCTAGAGTCCTCAGCTCTCCACGGCCCCATCTCTGCCTCCATCTCTGGTGTTACTGCTTCTCTAGATAAAGTCTCTCATTCCACTTGTGCTCTTCTCCCTTGATGTTCCTAGGGTCTTAGTTTCTGGACTGTAAAATTAACTACTCCCCCACTTTAGATACAAAACTTCTACCTTTACAATTGTAACAGTCGCAATTACTCATGATAAAAATTACTCACTATTGAATCATAAGACTCTTATCCCCATCTCTTTCAACCAGACCCATTTGGACAAGATGAAAACTATTCAGTGGGGACTCTTTCTTCCCCTACACACTCTTAAACTAACCACCCCCTTGAAACCTTAGTAAGCCAGTCACTTACCTTTATTGTCTCCTCATTTAAAGTAGCTAGTGTCTAAGTTGCCCAGCCCTATCTACCCTGGGTATGGAGGGGATAGCATTGATACTTGATGTGAAGACTCCTTCACTCTCTATTGGTATTTAGAGTTACTACCTCCAGGAGTATAGGTCAAATTCATCAAGTTGTAGCAATTTACCCTTGTTTCCTTTATTAAAAATAGTGTTTTGTTTTTTTTCTTTTTATCTTCCTCTGGTCAAGTTCTGATTATCAAGCCATCAAGGCTAGGTCAGATGGATACTATCTACAAGTTTGGGTGTGCTTGTGCATCCCTTCATTTCACATCAGCTGGATGCTTCACTCTAATCCTCCATGGCAATATCCCTGTCCATAGGCTCAGGTGTTCCCCGGTCTCACAACACTTTGGACCAACCAGCCCTTCCTCTTCTTTCTCTCAAATCCAGGTTAACGGGAGACTAAAAAATGTATTTAAACTCGTCCCATTTCTTCATTGCTGCCTTTCCCCCTTCTTCCACTCACCAGTAGACCAATATGGTCTTCAGCAAGCATACATGCCTGCTCATGTGTTCCCTTTGAGTTTCAGTCCTTAGAGGGAGGATCAAGAGCTTTTTAAAAACTTTTTTTTTTTTTTTTCACTTGGGAAATTGAAACATAAATAGCTCTAGGGGATGTTTCAATACACAGTTTATTCTAGGTTAACTACTCCTTAAGTCTTCTCTCACTTATGAGTATTCTGCAATTTTCCTTTCCCAAACTATTATTTAGGTACATTTATATTTAATATTTGTGTGACAGGCATTGTGTATTACATACTTAATATCAATTTTTCTTCTTCTTAACAGAACTTCAATTTTGGTCAAAATGGTGAAATACTTAAAGTTTCTTCCTCAAAATGTTGTTGTTGTTGTTGTTGTTGTTGTTGTTGTTATTGTTAGGTTGTGTAGGGTTAGTACCAACTCATAAGTGACCTTATACACAACAGAATGAAAAACTGCCCAGTCCTGTATCAAACTCCCAATCATTGCTATCTATGCTTGAGTCCATTGTTGTTACCACTGTGCCAAACCTCATTGGGGTCTTCCTCTTTTTTGCTGACCCTCCACTTTACCAAGTATGATGCCTTTTTCCAAGGGCTGGACCCTACTGATAATATTCCCCATGTGTGAGAGACAAAGTCTGGCCATTCTGCCTTCTAAGGAGTATTCTGATTATACTTTTTCCAACACAGATTTGTTTGTTCTTTTGGCAGTCCATGGTACTTTTAGGTCTACTCCAACACCGTTGTAGCTCAACTGCATCCTCAAGATGGACCTACATAAAACATATGAATTCTATTTTATGTAAATTGTTATTGTTACGTGCCGTGGAGTCGGTTCTGACTCATAGTGACCCTATACAGGGTTTC